CTGATGTTATTACCAAGAAAAGTTTTGATATTAATAGAAGAAACATTGTCTGATAATGACTATGCTCTTTGTGATTGTAAACAGTACTTATTCCTGACTTTTCAATAGTCTGATAGCAAAAAGGCTTGACACTGATAAAATGAAGTGACAAAATCAGAGTTCGTTCATTCAGGAAGAATGGATAGGAAGTTAAGAAAGCTGGACTCATCAGTATACCATAACTAACAGAGCTCTTTGCTCTTCAAAAAAACCCAACCAAACAACAACAACAAAAAACACCAAAAAACAAACAAACAAACAAGCAAACCACCAAACCAAAAATCAAATCCAAAACCCAATTCTATTAGGTTTGCAGCTTGAAATCTGCTTTCTGCCAAAGTTATCAATGATATCAACGTTCCCCCAAATTACATTCCATTAAATTAATCATATCCTGGCCAGTTCCACTCTGGGCATCAAAGTTGAATCTGGAAATCATATCCTGAAGTGTGGCATGCAACTTATAATGCTTTGTGCTCCTTGGCAGACGAAACAGAAAACAGTCCCCCTCAGGAGGTGTACTGATGTGAGAGATGACACTGCGTGTGTTACATGCACCAATGGTTTTGTTGGTGCATCCAGCAGCTGAGGGGAAAAGATTCAACAGGTCTTGACAGGTTTCTGCAAAAAAAAAAAAAGTCTTGTCCAGAAAAGAAGACCCCTGAATCCCTAACTCTTCCCTTTTCTTACAGGTGAACCTTGAGGTTCAAGGACACTTGAGAGATCGTAGCTCCTGAACGCATGACTTCCCCCTGAGATTAGAAGAAAGCCATGGGGAAAGACAAGAAAGATGAGGGGGCTGTCTTTCTGAGGAAAAAGATAACTTTGCTGAGGGCTTTCTCACTCCTCATCGGCAGCATGGTTGGCAGTGGCATCTTTATCTCCCCAAAAGGAGTACTGAAAAACTCCGGCAGCGTGGGTTTCTCCCTGGTTGTTTGGTTTGCCTGTGGGCTCCTCTCAATGTTTGGTGAGTGGTGAGTTTTGTCAGCCTTTGCTTAAGCACCTGGGAGGTAAGGGGAGCAAGAACATTTTTATGTATGAGAAGTCAGGAAAAGAATAAACCAAAAATTCTCAGTTCCTGCTGCAACAGAAACAAAGGCTTAGCAAGCCTGGAGGGGTCACCAGGGGTCTCTAGTTCAGATGGTTCCTCTGGAGTGACAGAGAAAAACCCAGCACATATGGTCTGTGAATCTGAAATCATGTGCAAGGCCAGGGCAGAGAAGTGACAATGACTGCAGATAGAGATGCCATGGTCTCTACCAGGAAAGCTGGGAGAAAATGTGGGGACTCATTCTATAAGGTGGAAGGGAGATGTAGGTATCTGAATGGCACTTGTGTGTCCAAGGGCTGTACAGAACTTCTCATAGATGCTGTGGAAAGGGCAAGAAGTGACAGTCTTAATATGCCGTAAGAGATCCCCTTTCTGTTGGTGAGGATGGAGAAACACTTGAGCAGCTTGCCTGGGGAGCTGCAGAGTATCCACCAGCCAGGAGTGGGTGCCTGAGTGTCTGTCAGAAATGGTTTGGGGTATGTCTGATGCTGCCTTGGAGCAGGAGATGGAGCAGATCGGTCCTGCTTTCTGTGTTTTACACTTGGCTTGGTTTTGGCAAAGGGTTGACTCTTTGATGAGTTTCATTCTAGTTCGTCTGAAGTAATGTAGCTCTTAAAGTTATGATGGATAAAAATATATAGCTTTTAGTTTGCTTCATTAACTGTATAAGATCACTATCTTGGAAATGCTGAAAAGGTGCTGTTAGGAGAACTGCAAGATCTCTTGGCTCTGGGGAGAAATCTGATATTTTTTTAATTGGCTGACTTTAAAGTCTTCTGTCATAACTTAGGGAAAAATATCCCAAATAACCAAAAGAAAGGAGAAAAACTCCATCTGGAAAAAACTCCCATATTTTGGCACTGTGACAAGTTTAGAAATTGAGACATTCAGTGTTAATATGGAAACAAGTGTGGTTCTTGCTCTTAGCGTATTTCCACCACTATTTCACACTGCAGCCGATGTGTGGTTGTTTGACAAATGATATACTTTTGCTTAATGAAAATATTAAAATATAAGGTAAGCATGGCGTTTGTTTTGGCTGAGGAGAGCGATAAATGGGAACGTGTGTGCTGATGACACAGCCCAAGCTCTAGGCTTGGAAAGGTTTCTCTTTCTGTTGCATCCTTTGGTAGACTCTGCTGGAAGAGCCTCAGGAGTCTCTTTATCAAGTTACTGTGTTTTGTAGCCAAATTTGTTGGTTTGTTCTCTTTTATCAGCTTGATGACCTCACCTGATCGACCTCACCTGATCATTTCTTTGACACTTTTTTTTTTTTTTGCAGTACATTAGAGGCATGATTTCTTCTGAGCTGTTTTCTTTCAAGTATGGCATTTATACAAGTCCCATAGCATGAGTTCAGCACAGCACTTAAACACATGCTTGAAGCCTGTAGAGAGACCCACTGGAATAAACGACATGAGGTGCCTGCTTGTATTCAGCACTTTGAACGGGGATTCTGCATGAATTTGCCAACAGAGAGAAAAATTGAGGTCCTTGTCACTGGCATGACCCAAATATGGCATGATCGCCACAGGACTTGGAGGCATGGCCATATCACCTCTGGGTTCCTCTGTGCTCTGCCTCCACAGCCACTTGGTCTGGGCAAAGAAGTAAATAGCACAGCTAGAGATGGTCTTACTCCACAGTTGCATCCCAAGAGTGCTCAGCCCCATGGCAAGGAGAGCTGTACTCAAGGGAAAGAAGTGGTTTATGATTTCTTTTGGTGAACAAAAGTTGTTTAATCTAGCAAGTGAATCCAGTGTCAGCAGGGCTTAAGATTCGTTCTTAGGCACGTTCCAATGGCATGATGGATGGTTTTATAGAGAAAACACAGATGGGATATTTTAGTTTTGGCATAGGCATAGGCATAATGATTTCTCTCCATTTGCTGGAAAGTTTTAAGCTGTCCTCTCCAGCACACCTCTCCCAGGGTTTCTCCTTGTGCCCTGGTGCAGGGGCAGGGAAGTGCAGAGGCACTGGTCAAGGCAGGAGCAGGCAGTCCCCAGGTCTGTCAGAGCACTCGTGTGAATGTGTGAGAAGAGACCGACTGAGGCTCTCATGTGGATGCTCCCCTTGCTTTGCACAACCAGGGCCATGTTTCGCTCTGGTGGCCGTTCTTCCCTCTCTGAGGAGATGCCCTTCCAGGTCTTCTCTCTGGTGCCTTTGAATGAAGCAGGGGATTTCTGTGAACGTGCAAGAGGAGACAGGAACATGGCCTGTGATCAAAAATATGACTGGAGTGACCAGTTCAGCCATGACCTGTCAGCTGAGCTGGTGTAACTGCCTTGCAAGCACCATTTCACCAGTCTAACTGTGAGAAGTGAGAACTCAAACCTCCAGGACATTTGTCAAATGCAGCTTAGTGCAAGGTTCCTATCACACACCCTTCCACATAACTTCTGTGGAAAAGTTTTATAGTTAACCAGAAAATGGAGAATTACTTTCCTTCTGACAGAAAAGCCAATTACTTCAAAACTAACTTCAAAACACTGTAGCACAATAAACTACAGAAAAGCAGTTCTGCTGAACTCCTTTTTCTTCATCTAATTCACTGCTTTTTAAAAACAGATTCATTCAATCTCTGGAAAGTTACAGAGAAAAGAGAAAAATCCATGTGATGATTTACTCAGTGCATTTCTACCTGAACTTTTTCAGGTGCCTTGTGTTATGCAGAGCTTGGAACAAGAATCACCAAATCTGGAGGACATTATATATACATTTTGGAGACACTAGGGCCCCTGCCAAGTTTCTTATTCCTGTGGGCAGAGTTTTTTGCTATCAGGTAAGAGATTTTTTTTGTTTTGTTTTGTTTGCCTTTTGCTGGATGCTGTGATGATTTAAAAACCCAAAATTTACAGCGCCAGGTAACAGTCTAAGCAGTTTGTAAAGGAAAGAGTAGAAACAATCTGAACAACTTTTAAAGATTTTGCAGTGATAAAAGGAAGAAGGCATAATGAGTAAATAGATACAAACGTTCAATGCAATAAAGAATATCTTTCTTCTCTGGCGTCATCCAAAAGCCATGGTATTTTTCAGAGACTGACAATATATGCCAGATATATTTCAGATCTTCTGTTTTCTTTGTGAAACTTTTTTGGATTCTCCTGGGGAGACAACTTTCTGGCTTAGCCCTGAGTTAAATAATATTTTTTTAAAAATTGTAAATTACTCATTTTTTAACTTTAAAAGAAAGTCTTGACCTCTCAGTAACCTGTGTCCTTCCTTTAAACCAAGATGAATCAGTTCATATGAACCATGCTGACATTGCTCAGTCTGATTAATCTCAACGTTTGCTTTTGTGTTGGGAATTAATCTTTATGCAGCATGGGATTTTTAACCCATTTACTGAGAAAATCCTATGAAAAAGACTCTACAGGAATCCACAAGCAAACTTCCCCCTCGCCCGAGTTTTGTGCAGTTTTTACATCGTGCCATTTTTTGGGAATCTGCAGACTATAGTTTGTGCTTTATTCTCCCCACCAGGCCTGCCAACAGTGCTGTGGTTTCTTTGGCATTTGGTCGCTACATGCTGGAACCATTTTTTGCCCCCTGCACAGCCCCTGTCCCTGCTGTGAAGCTCGTGTCTCTCCTGGGGTACTGTAAGTACCAACTTCTACAGGACTGCCATTCTCTGAGCCTCTCTGCCCTGGACCAGGGGCACTTATGGGTTGTTATCTTCTGGGATAACTGTGAGATTGGGGCTCCCTCTTACCTCCTTGGTCACCCAAAGCTTCCTGATCCAAGTCTCTGTTGTGGACCATTATATTCTCCAAGAAGGGGAAAGGGCCTCCTTGTTGGCCAGCTGGAGCCCTAGGTTGGGGGGGATCGTGCCAAGTACAGGAGTAGAAACTCTTAATGTACAATTGTGCAAATGCCACCCAGGTTGCGGGCATAAGGCTCAAAGTTCTGGACTCCTTGCCTAGTGCACTCAGCCTGTGAAACTGTTCTGCCTGCTCCAGGCTGGTATGAACTGGCACAGGGGTTGCTGTGAAAGGGGCTGCTGAGACGTGCCTGAAAACTCACACCTCCCCTCTAGGCAGGCATGGACCTCCTGACAGAACCAGGTTCCTGGTCCCTCTTAAGACTGTTACTCAGCTTCTCCTTCAAATACCATACACTGGGCCACACCTGTAATGTTTCCTGACATCTCTCACCCTGAGCAGCCTCTCTGTAAAGATGCGATCCACTCCCCAGCATCCCTAGAGCAGGGAGTGCTGCTGTGTTTTTTCCTGCATGCATTGAGCATGGGCTACAGCTGTAGCAGCGTGGTTTCCTCTCCAGACATGGTCCTCACCCTCAACTCTTGGAGCGTCACCTGGAGTGCCCGGCTGCAGACGGCTCTCTCCGTTGTCAAACTCCTGGCCCTTGCACTCATCATCGTGCCAGGGATGATGCTGCTGGCCGAGGGTAGGTGTGCTGCTGCGTGGCTGAGGGAGGGTGCTCAACATGTCCTTCTGCCACGGCTGTTATCGATCCCTAGCGATAAGCGTGGGACTCGAGGAGCTTCCTCTGCCTTCATGCTGGGTGTGAATTACCTGGGCGCTGAGACCAGGGCAATTGGCACTAAGCTGCAGCATTGCATGGGGCTGAGGCACCTGGCTCAGCTGGGCTTTCTCCAAAACTGAGCGAGTCTCAGTGCCTCAGGCTGTGAGAGCCTGCCCGAGGTCACACAGGCACCTTCCTCGGCAGACAATCTTCCTTTGGTGTCAGACTGTCCTGTTTTCAGCATGGCTCAAAATCCTTCCAAAGCAGCACAAAGTTGATTGACATCAGAAACGTGTGACAGCATCCTGGGGTGACCTCAGCCAGTCACAGCTGTGTAATGAGTTACCAGCTCTCAGCTGAGCCCTGGTAACTGCATCTCTAACCTTTCTGTGGCTTAAGCTCATGGTTTTTAATTGAGATGGGCAGTAACTTGGTTAAACTTACAATGGCCTTGTGAAGGATTGCACACTCGGATCCAGACTGGGGAAAAAAACACCTGCCAGCAGTATCTTTTGGAAATGGTGCGAGAGCATTGGCTTTAATCCACGCCTCAGTTTATAGAAAAGCCCAAGGCATTACCACTTAAGGGATGAAGCCTGCTCCCTCTTCATACTATTACATTCCCCTGCAGAGAATACAGCACAGGCAGGAGGCTCCACGTTCATGTTTCATTCTGCTCTCTGGAGCTGGCTCTTTTGAACATGCAAATATCCACTTGGGCTGACAGCGCTTCTGAACTGCAGAATTGCCCTGCAGCTAGAAACCCTGACCCATTATTGTTACGAATGCCTTCAAATGGCAATCTGGAACCCTGGCACCAGTCCTCTGGTGAGGAGGATAAGTGCCAGTGACATCTGGAGGGAGAATTCACTGAGAGACCTCAATATGACAGGTTGTATTTAATGTGACTCATGGGGGACTGGGAATTACTCATTAATGTATTGCAGACAATAAATCCTCTTTATGCACCGTCACTTATCGGGAATCATCTTAGAACATAAAAAGACACCCCAATAGGCCAACTCACATATTTTGATTTAGTTTTCTTCAAATCTGTTTTCCTTTTTTTTTTTTTTTTTTTTTTTTGCTTAAAAAACAGTTCCGTGTTTTATATTCTGCTTTCCTGATTCCCCTGCCTTGTTCCACTTTTTTCGTTACGCTCTTGTCCTTTCCTCTGCCGTCACCTTCCCTTTGCCTCAGGTTTGTTTTAGAGACTTGCTGGGCCGGTGTTTCAAACCAAAATACCCAAATCTTGTCACAGGGCTCCTTGAAGAGGCACCTCCATAGAAGTGGCCTGACTGTCTCGATGTACTCCATGCCATTTCATCCCTTTCCCAGTGAAGCCCAACTAGGCCAGCTTTTACTTTTAAAGACACTTCAATATAGAGAACTGAATATAGACGTGGAACCAAACCTTGAGAGATTTGGATTTGAAAATATTGGAAACACAACTCCCTTTGACTGTGTTTTTTATTGGTCTTGCTTTGAATAAGAGGCCATTAGGTGTTTCTTCCTTCCCCAGATTTTTTTTTAGTTAGATAAAATATGGTTCACATCAAAAATCCTGACTTGGATTTTTTTGGGGTTTTTTTGATTGTTATTTCAAACAGAGTACTTTTAGGAAAACTGTGGAACTTGGTCAAATGGGCTCTCTCTCTGAACACCTCTTCTTGTCAGATCTTGTTTGCTTTGCCCTCTCTGTCCACAGTTCCTGGTCCTGCGGGTGAGCGGCGGTGGCTGGCAGAGGTGGTGGGCAGGGAGCGTGCCTGGAGCAGAGGGCCAGGCTTGTGGTTCCAGCTCCCTGCTCCCGCTTCCTCCTCCGCCTCGGTTCCCATGCTCCAGCCAGTGTGGGGCTGGGGTCAGTGCTCTGGCAGTGGGATCAGGAGGGAGCACAGTGAGAGCCCAATTAGCCGCCTCACTGTCTGCACCACATCAAAGAGGAGTGTGCATCCAGCTGCTTGGGAGGGGAAGAGGGAGGTCAACCTGGTGAATTAATTTTGGGCCTAAATAAAGGACAAGACATCTTGGGTTCTCTCATCTCCATGATCTGCCGTTCCCACAGCAGGCTCTGTCAGAAACAGAACCAGCTGCTGCCATTGCCCTTCCTGAAATGCCTCCTGTAGCTGAACGAGGGACAGATATGTTCTGTTTGTGAGGTGAATGCGTCAGCACAGTGCTGTAATTTAAAGCAGTGAGACAAATCTGAACATCTGGCTCCAAGGTAGATGGACTCAGACTCCACAAACACCATTTCCAAGTCTGGGCAAGAAGTCCAAGGGATGTTCTTCCATGGGAAGGAAGCCAGTCTCTGACATTTGCCTGGTTGTTATCCATTTGTCCATGGTCTGTGCCCATTGTTTATCTTTTCTGTAGGCCACACCGAAAACTTCCAGGATGCTTTTGACAGACAGTCACTGGTTTTGGATAAGATGCCCCTGGCTTTTTACGCAGGCATGTTCGCATATTCAGGCTGGTAGGTGTGACGGGAGAGTCCTCCGTGGGCAGCAGACCAGTGTCCAAGACATGGCTCAATCTCTCTCCCTGTCTCTTCCCTCTGTTCAGGTTTCAGGCCAGCTTTGTGCGTGAAGAGTTGGTCAGACCTGAACGGTAAGTCCGGGAAGAAGTAATCTTGTATTACTGGCCTCTGGGGTACTACAGCTTTCCCAAACACAACATGGGAGGAAATAAGTTTGTGGGTTCACCTAAGTAATGTCAGCTGCAATCTGCAGTAATACTGTACACAATAAGGGATAACAGCTTGGTTTTTGTGTGCCTCTCTCCCCCTTCCTTGTAGAAACATCCCTCTGGCTGTCATCGTGTCTGTGATCACGGTAATAGTGGGGTACATGCTCACCAACATCTCCTATTACACGGTCCTGGGAACGCAAGACGTTCTGGCTTCTCCTGCTGTGGCTGTGGTGAGTCATTGCCCCTGTTGTTATCTGCCTTCAGCGTGTCAGCTTATGCTGAAGGGGTGGCCATGGCTTCAGGGATGGTTTTTCTATAAAATGCTTTACTGCTTTTTTGTTTCTCTGGACTATTGGGTAACAGTAACTTCTAGTCTCACTTAAGGGATAATGAAAAACAACCTGCAGATGACAGTAGAAAGGGCAAGATTTATGAGTTATATTTTACTCCTTCAATGGAGGAAGTTTCCTTTCCTTTGAAACTGATGTCTAGAGATCACCATGTTCCTAAAGCTACACTTGCTGTTCCTCCAGAGCTTCGTGCAGCGAGCCTTCAAAAGCCTGATCTCTGTGGTCCCTGTCCTTGTTGCACTGTCCTGCTTTGGAACCATGAATGGAGGAATCTTCACATTTTCAAGGTCACATCCCAAAGAATTTTTTTCATCTTTTGGGTTACTACATCAGAGGGAAGCACCAGTGACTTGTGCAACTGCCCACCCACACAATGGCATTATAACCACTCTTGTGGGAAAACTTATGGACACCCAGAATGTCAACTACAGGATGATTGCTGTTGGCTAAGAGCCTACACTTTCTATTTCTGTCCAGGTCCAAACTTTGGATTTTTATCTTCTCCCCAAACCCTTCAGTTTAAATCGCGAGTTTAAAGAGAAATGTCAATATTTCTGGTGAACTAGAGGCTTTGTTGATGTTGGCAGCTGCTCAGTGAGATCGAGTCTTCTTTCACTGGGTTCACCCAGCCGCTCTGCTGCGGGGCACAGGATTCCTGTGCTGTGAGGATCTCTGGCCAAAGGCAAACACTCCCTCGAGGACTTTGCTTCAAGGTCAGAGAAATGTTATCAGGGACAGGCTATTCCTAAAGCAACAGCTAAGCCTCAACAAGTCTTGTTGTAGCAATAAGACAAACTTTGTTCCATGGAACATTTATCTTGATAGCTTCACTGGTACACTACACTGCATGCCCTTATGAGAGCCTTGAAATTAGAGAAGAGAGCAGAGCTCACAGAGAAGCACATTGTGCTGGTTGTGAGGAGCTGAGCGAACACTCTGAAGCCACTTCTTCTTCACAGCTTTGATTGCAAATGGAAAAATCAGTTAATATGAAAAGGATGTTTCATAGCATGAAAGCTAATGAGTTATTTGATCTACTACCATGACGTCCTGTATTAAATACAGGTGCAGAGAATCCTCCCCGTTAGCTCCTCTAGTGGTTTCCTTTGAGGATAAGAAGTCCCCAGGCAGCACAGAGGTTCTGCATGTCCCTGTCACCGGCTTTTCCCCCATCCTGGCACCATTACCATAATCCCTGCATAAAGGCCATATAAACAACGATGGGGCCTCCCTGGCTGCTGGCCAGCCACACCCCTGCAAAACCACAGAGACAGCAATAAAACCAGCTTTACACTCCTGCCCCAGCTGCTTTGGGCCTTGCTCCAGCCCAGCTGATATTCTGGCATGGTTTATTTGTGGATATTAAATTTATAAAATTGAATGCAATGCCTTCTCCCTAATTGCCCTTTCATGGGTCCAAGGGGGGATGGAGGCAAGGAGCTCTCTGCTGTAATTTTGTAGCTGGTCTTGTGAGTAACTGGCCTCTCAGCAGTACACCAAACTATATTTTCCAATGGCTGGCCAGAGGATTGAAAATCCTCTATTATTTGTGGAAATTGCACTTTATTTTTAGATCTATACATATTTAAATATATTTATATATGCATAAATACAGACATCAAGACTGACGAATCCCTTTTATAAACTCACCAGCCTCTCTTACAAAAGAATCAAAGTTCGTGACCCTTCCACTTCCTGCTGGACAGATTAATCCCTTCTCCGATGGCTAGAAATTTTCTTGCTTCTGTTTCCAGCCTGAATTCATTTATGGTCAGTTTGGACTTGCCCAAAGGTCTCTGCTAATGGGCCACCCAAGGGGATGTTGTCAGTGGTCCTGCTGGTGGGCTCTGTACTGCGTTGAGCTAACTGGTCCTGGGAGAGCTATGGGAACTCAACACTGGGTTTTTCTTCTAAATGTCCCAAAAGTGCAGTGAAAGGCAGACCTGTGCTGGGACAGAGGAGTGTCGTGTGGTCTCAGGTCATTCCAGTGACTGAGCTTCTCATTTCTAATCTGTATGTGGGATGCTAATGCATAGGGCTCCCTGTCTTTTCCTAGGACTTTGTTTGTGGCTTCCAGGGAAGGACAGTGGCCTCCTCTCTTCTCCATGATCCACATTCGAAGGCATACACCCCTTCCTGCTGTCATGTTAATGGTAAGGAGATCTGGCTGTGTGACATGACCTGGAGAAGCTGAGGAGTTTTAAAGGGTATTGAGACACTAAGCCTCTGAAAAGTAAAGACGGTGGAATACTGGAAATGACTATGAAGCATTAAGTCCCCTTGTGCCAGCAGTGGAGTCTAAGCTCACTGCCTCGAAGTCTCTGCCTTAGAACTTTGGATACATTTTTTAAAAGTACTGTCCCTACCATCTGCCACAGTTGCTGCTTGATACTGTGCTATGAAAAGACCTCTGCCAGACTCTGGCTATTTGGAAAACTGAAATCACAGGTGTGGTGGAAATGCAGGGCACAAGTATTTGCAGAGGTGCTCTGAGGTTTGGGTTTGGGTTTTTTGGTTAGTGTGTATGTTTGGATTTTTTTCTGGCAATGGTCCAGCTCCATCCTAACTGTGCTGTCTCTTGCAGCTTGGCTGACCTGCTTAAAACTTAGCAGGTATCTTTGTAGGCAGCCTTTGTACCAGCAGTGTAGTTTTTTTTTCATCATGCAGTGTAGGTTTTAATTGCCCTGCCTAGGATATAGAGCATCAAAGATGCTGTTGATTTTGAAAAGATTTTTTACAGGTGCTTTCTGTAGTATACTAGAATAGTGCACTTAGGCCTTTTGCCTTCAGTGTGTGACATGGTTTTGTAAAGACCTCTGAATTAGTGAGACTGTAGAGTAGCTGCCTGTGATTGCAGGGGTGCTGGAGGAGGTCATCCATATTACCCTTTTTAGTCCAAGGACCATAGTAAGGCTTTAATGACTGTATCTCATCTTCATAATGCTCAGTTCCCTTTGGTTACTGCCATGGTCTGTATCGGAGACATCTACCATCTAATGAACTTCTTCAGCTTTTCCCGATGGCTCTTCATAGGATTAGCCACCCTTGGGCTCATTATCCATCGCCACCGCCACCCAGAGCTGCACAGCCCGTTCAAGGTAACGCATGGCATGTATTGAGCAGTCAGGAATGGGCAGGCTTGTCATTTCTCTTTCTTATTTGAATAATTATTTCTATTTATTTTGTTTCTATTTATTCTATTATTCTATTTAGTTGGAGTATTATGTGGCCATGGTTGCCTTTGAGGTCTAAAGGGTCTTGATCCCTATTACTTAGTAAGGCACGTTGGGGATCTCCTGAAATGGACTGATGTGCCTGAACAGCCAGATGTGGTAAATCCTACACAGCCAGTTCTACATAGTGTCACCAGTTTTATCTGTAAGATGGCAGCTGGCTCCAGGGCATGGAGGTTCAGGCTGGGAACAGGGAGATGTGCAGAAGGCAGTTCCCACATTCATCTCTCGTGGGCTCCAAGGAAGGACCCTTGCCTGGATGTTATTTCCGTGATAAGTCTCAGCTCTAGCTGAGAAGCAGGAGGATGTCAGGCTTAGGGGAAAAGAGCGTGGCCAGAGGGATCCTGGGACCAGACCTGACTTCAGGGAAATCACTTGCTGGCACAAAAGTATTGTGTAGTGCAAAGCAGCTTGTGTGCAACTACTGCTGCTGCAGGCTCTGAGGGTGTGCGCAGTGCATACTTGAGTGCCACAAAGTGCAGGATGCCTTGTCCTCTCATGCTGTTCCTTGGCATCCAGCTGGACCCCTTGAGTGGCCCTTCTCATGCTGATGAGTGCTGGGATCCTCTTTGTGTTTGTGAGGGAAGCTGGATTTGGTGCTGGAGCAGCTTTCATGTGCTCAGGGCACCTTTCCTGCTGCCAGATAACGTGCAGAGAGCATTTGGCCAGGGCAGTGCTCGAGGCATGCACAGTTTGTTCCTGCCTGCAGTCGTGCCTGTGCAGTGCTTCCAGCCAGCTCCTGGGGAGGAGAAGGAGACCTTTGAGGCCACCGGCACTGGGCGGCTAATCTCGAGAACCTCAGGAGGCAGAAACATTTCCCACAGCTCCCAGGGCTCCTCCCTGAGCATCACGAGGCCTGATGTGAAGTTAGGGATGGTTTTTCTTTTCGGTCTTTGCTGGAGACAGCATGTTTAGCAGCGAGCTTGAAGCCTCCCAGTTTGTTGGCTGGCTGCACTCGTGTACTCACCCAGAAACAGAGTTTAAACAAGTTTTCTCTTTTTCTCTTAAACCAAGCTTCTCAGGGAAAGTTTATTAGTGGATAGTACTAGTGCTGTCTTCACTTGCTGAGATTTTGCCCCATTTTGTTTTAGACAGTGATTTAGGCTTTTAACTGTTCCTAAAGACAGTTTAAGGGAGGGAGATGCTTCACTTTTGATCAGTTTGGTTGAGATTCCCCGCCCCCTCCCCCGCCCCGCCCCTGTTTTTTTAACCACTTGAAGACCAAATTCCATTATCTCCTAGAAGGAACGTGTGTGTGCAGGTGATGTGGGCATGTGCTGCGCTCTAGTGGTCAGATGCAGGTTGTCTTCTGCCACTAGCTATGGAGAACAAGAATCATAAAATACACGCCTTTGCGCTAGCTAGTACTTCTCTCCTATAACATTTTGAGTTAAAAATGGTGAGAAAACACCGGTACGAGGAGGAAGCAGACCTCTCACACACCTCTCAAGCCGGTGTTCAGCATGAATGTGTGCACACAGGAGAGCCTGGCAGTGGATGCTCTCCTGGAGAGATAGCAAGAGCACCTAACTTTGGTGGCTGTATGGCTGCCAACACTAGAGCAACTGTTCTTTTCCAGCTCGGCATGGTCAGCATCCTAAATAGGATCTCTGTTACTGGAAAATAGATTGTCACTCTAGATGAAACCAGCAGGTCCTTCATTCTATCAGCCATGGTGAGGAGTAACTTCTCTGGGGCTGAATTCAAAGACTGAGGGAATGTTTCATAGTTTTATTATTGAATGTATTCTTATGATTTAGTGACCAAATAACCTAGATGAATTGGTTCATCCGACAGGTTAAGGCTGAAGTGCTGACTGCTGCTTTGGTCTTTCACTGGGGTGTTGTTGAAGTTCATGCTCTTGATGCAGGTGCTATGGAGGTAGGGAGTCTATTTTATCCTTTTTGGGCCACTATAAGTCTCAGGCAAGCTGGTAGCAGGTCAAAATGAGTCATGAGTTTTATAACTAACAAATACTTTGACTCAAAGTGCTGCTTCTACTCTTGGCTCCGGATTTTCCACCATCAGTTGCCACAGGTGGCAAGTAGGTACATGTGTACGTGCGTGTGCAGGAGGAGTACATACAGAGAGCAGGGACACGTAGGTGACTTTTCCTCCTGCTTGGCTTCCAGTTGCAGGCGAGGTTTACGCTTTGATGCACAGGGATATAGGAGACAAGCCCCTCACAGGGCACACTGGGGACCAAAGTTGGTGTGAGTCAATTTTTGTTCTTTGTGTTCTACTTTTTTTGCAAGCGATTGCACAGGAGTCTACTGTGAGTGCAGCCGTGCAGCTGTATGGTTTTCCTCATCTTCTCTAAGATGGAGAAGTGAATACAGTGTGTGCTGGCACACATGGAGGCTGATTTGCTACAGCCATCAGTTTTGCCTGAGAGTCTTCTGCACTCTTTTTTTTTTGCAGGTTCCCCTGTTTATTCCTGTCTCTTTTACCATCATCTGCCTCTTCACAGTGGCAATGTCTTTCTACTCAGACCCTGTGAACATCAGCATCGGATGCATCATGGTTTTAAGCGGTTTTCCAGTCTACTACCTCATAATCCACAGGCAAATGTCAAGTCATTGCCGTAGCCCGTTTTGTAAGTATGCATTTGAGGTTCAGTATTCTAGAGCTAGACAGGCTCAGGGATGGGGATGTTGGTTTCTTCTCAGGGCTCATCTCTAGTGCAAATTGCTCTGTGAACCAGCAGATCTCATGAAACCTAAATCATTACCCCTGGCACCCCTTCAATGGCTTTCCCAAGAATCAGCCTCTGCATCCGAAGAGATGAGGGGTAGGCTGTGCTGTGGGTGGTTGACAGCCAGGCATGGTTTCTGTCTGCCTGGCTTGTGAAGGTACTGATAAGCCAGCTTAATGCTTTTTTTTTTAAAAAAAAAAGGCGGAGCTGAGGTCTACTAACAGGGGGAACAGGGAGTATTGCTTTTGCACCTCAGCCTTGGTTTCTACTAAACTTTCTCATGTCTTTTGGATCACTGCTTCTCAGTCAAATTTGTCTGACAAGATCAAAAGTTAGAATGGAGAGACTGACAGGCAGACACTGTAATTTTGTGTGCACAAACATACTTTCTGAAAGGCTGGGAAGAAAACCATAGGAAAAGACAGTGCTGCCCAAGAGCTGTCTATTTGGTGAAGAGGCCAGGGTGGTTTTGGGTAGACATGAAATACATCTCCACTGCATGCAATGTTTAGCACAGATTTCCTTTGGGTGTAGCCCTGGTCACATGATAATCTCGGAAACAAGAGCTCAGTTTTGAGTTTAATTTACAATTTCAGTCCTACATCTTGTTTTCTTTTGATCTGATATTGGGCTGATGTGTATCAGTAACCGCTGAATAGAAGACATCGTGCAGCAAGTAAGGAAGCAGACTGATCTGCTAACAAAGTGCTCCAACCATCAGTTCTGATTTCTCAGCCATATCTCCAGGTTTCCTCTGGACTAAACTTTCTTACTTTTTTTGCCCTCTTTCAGATTATCTTACACACAAACTACAGTTACTGCTGGAAGTAGTCCAACAAGAAATCAAGACTTACTGAGAAAACCATCAGAACTCACAGGAGAAGATAAAACCTACTTTATTCTGTTTCTGATACTTTTGATTCTACCAAAAGCAGGCCATGCTCTAATTTCAATCGTGGCAAATGAGGATGAGTCTGAACCAAAACCTTGCTGCAAGTGTTCCTAAGCTTGCCAGTTGGGATTGGGATGAGCATGTCAGATCTGTTTCTGGCCTTCTCTTTTTTAGCAGAACAATCTAGTTCTCTGAAATGAACTTGCTTTTGCCTGTAGTGTGTCTTTGAAACCAAGATCCTAATTTTGCAGCCTAGTCCAATCTTCAGTAAAATACTCTGTGTTTATATATATATACATACACTATTTTTTTAATTTCTTAACTTGGCAAATAGTGGAAAGGAGCATGTTGCAGAACTTAGAGTCCAATGCATGGAACACAAATGCAGGTTTCAAACTGAAGTGTTGTAGTAGCCATGCTGTGGACAAGCATTACGAGGTGAAACAGGTGGGGAGGGCAAATTACAAATAAGGTAGATGAAGTGGAAAGAAGGAAGCAGGGAGATAAAATTTCATTCACCAGAAAGTGTAGATTCAGGTTAATAAGAAAATATTTGAAAACCCTTTGAAATTCAAATATTAACAAAGTCAAGTCAGAATGTTTTGTTTTGGTTATTGTATAAGCAGAATAAGTTCATTTTGCTTTGAAATAATATTTCAGTTTTGAGTTTTATTTTTCTGGAATGTCATTTCAAAATGTACAAAAACATTAAAAAAAATCAGCCAAATATCAACAGGAGTATGACAAAACAGACCTTCAACCTTCCCCCAACTCCTCAGTTCCACTCCTCACTTGATACTACCATCAAAGCTGAACATTCAGATTTTGGCCCAACTCCAGTGAAATGCAATTTCTCCTTTAGTTAACAAGACCACTGAAGAGACTCGGACAGATTCCTGAGTAAGTGCATCTTTTGGTACTGTAAGAAGACATGATAGACTTCATGTCAGAGCTTTAACTTGAAATCTGCTGTCAAATGACTTGCTGAATCGATGTGTAAATGTTCATTTGAACTGTTGACGTAAGAAGGCTTCCGTTCCTGCATTACTTTGGTTTACATTATTAATGTGGCAATGCTATGTCCAGATAAAACAGCAATTAGCTGTTTCCAATCCCTTAATTGATAATTTTTTCCTAAAGGATAGGAAATAGTCTGCTCCTCTAATGACTGCTGGAGAGAAGAATAGCAGAATGCAGAGCATTTTTAATCTTTTGTATGAAGCAGTTATGTACTTGGAGTAAAACCGAAGTACCATTTACAAACCCAATGCAATCTACTGAAACTTGTAAAATTCACTATCAAGATTTGGAAATAAATCATGGGGTTTTTTTCCAAAGCAATTGAGAATTATTCTTGTTACGATTTCTTCCCATTCCAGTGCTAAATTAAGCTGGGCTAACAGCAGTGTGGTTGCTGGGCTCGGTTCCCCCCTCCCCTCCTGCAGTTTAATTTACAAGCTGCTGGACATTGTTCAACAGGAAATCCAGTCTTACTGGGAAAACCATCACAACCCACAAGAGAAGGTACTGGCTTTAAATGATCGTGTGTTTTCAAGTGAGATCTGGAAACGTTTCCAGGCTCCCAGACACGAGTGGGTTCTCCCTCACGGCAGGCTTCGCTGAAGTCAAACCCCTGGCACACCTTCATGCAGCACCCTGTGGCTGGGACCTGATGTGGGTGGCTAGGAAGCAACCTGCAGAAGACCTTGCAGAACCAGGTGAGCCCCATCACCCCAGCACAGCCTGAGTTCACCCCCTCAGGTACTGATCTGGGGAATTTTCCACACCTTGAGGCAGAAGCATGAGGTGCTGCCAGCCTGGTCCTGTGCTGCAGGACCCCTGTGAGCACAGTGTGCCCATGCTGTGTAGCATCAGTACTCACACATTGAACCTCAGAGTGGTCTGAAAGTGCAACAGAGCTGCTGTGTGTCTGCAGATAGACATGCAGAAAGGATGAAACATCACCTTTTTTTTTTTTTTTTTTTAATGTCCATTTCCTCTGAAGACTAAAAGGGAACAAGAATTTAAATTCCTGGGAGGAAAATAAGTGATCCTACCTACTGGAACATAGTTTCTTTATACATGATAAATCATTTGACATAAGCAGGGAAACCACAACAGAGGCATCTGCTGACCGTGCAGGAATACGGTCTTGCAGGGCTATATATAGAACATCTGCTCCAAGACATGTCATATAATGGAAATGCGGACAAATATAGTACCATGGTTACTTTGACAGTTAGAAGTCAAAGATTCAACAGCTCTACAGGTGACAGTGCAATTAAAAGTGATGGAAAAAAAAAAATTATGTTCAGAAGGTATCAGTTTACAGTGAGCTTAAGTTCCCAGTTTCGGGTAAGTTGTTTGCTTTTAGAGAGGGTGGTAAGCTGCTCTCAGCAAAGCTATGTAAACATTTTCTACCAAGCCAGAATGTTTTTCCTAGAGCTGATATCTCATGCCTACTGAAGCTCTTGGCTTCAGTTCAAAAGAGTATTTTGCTAGAGAATTCACATATGCAAAACCTGCAGACCTGATCCTATAAATCTTATCAGTCAATGGAAAGCATAAAAATTATGCAGCTGTGGAGACGAGAGCTGTATGAGAGCTCAAAAGCCAGTCGCAAAAGGCCAGACATGGAAGAAACAAAGTTCAGCTTCTTAATCACCTTTGTGGTGGTTTTTTGTTTGTTTAATACTGTCTCTATAAAATGCACTCAGAGTGCAGTCTTTCCAGAAACCAAAACAGAGATTTATATATTTCAGCCACTACTGCTCTGACTAGATCATCAGGAAGTAAAAATGTTCTGGGTAATTCAACCGGATGCAAATTGTGTAATGATTTTAAGGAAAAAATAAAAAAGGCTTGCACCTGAACAAGTTTATGCAGTTGGTACTATTTGACCTGTCGTTAAGCTTTATGCTTCAGAGCTCTGCTGGGAAATGCTGTGAGCACTTTGGACTGAAAAATGAGAAGTCTGGAAAGCTCTTAATCCTCCTCTGATTTACACGGGGAAGAACAGAGCAGAGGCTCAGACTTCAAGGTAAAGGAATACAAATATTTGGGACAGTGCAGCATGTCTGAAGGACACCGTAGCACCAAGCCTGCCCCACAGGGCTCTGAGCTTGGTTTTTCCAGCCACTGGAAGGGTGGTACGAATTGGCTCAAGGACGACAGGAACCAAGCCATAGGAATAAACTACTCAGGTTTGTAGGGGTGTTGATTTTACTGATGGATCTGCAAAAAACTTCAGCTATGCCTGGCTGCTCTGCTCAGGCCTGGCAGACGCACATGCGTGTGGTGCAATAACCAGGAGGAAACATTACTCGGCTCTGTTTCCTAAGGCTCTGTGACTGGCAGAGTGTCCTACGGAGAGACTCCCAGAGAGACAGCAAGGTACAAACGTGAAGTTGAGAGGTCACGAGGAGTTCTCACAGGCCAGTCATATGTTATTTCTGAAGGTCTTATTGCATCCACGGGACCTTTCCCCTGTGAGGCAAGGGTTCAGAGGGCTTGTCCAACTGGCGGGCATGCGGCTGATGCCCTCGGCTGCTGGATGGTAGGACTGTGAGTAGGGGAGCCGGGGAGATGGTGCATGCTGGGCTCTGACAGCTTTCCTGGGGTGTCGCTGGGGATTTTATGGTTTGTGGGCTTGGCTTTATGGTCTGCTGGAAGGATACCTGCTTGCAGTTAGCCATACCATAAGCTGTGTCTGTACTGTTGTTAATACATCCTTTCTCCCACGTGAGGGAGAAGTGTATAAGAGAAAAAGTGGCAGGAGGTTGCTTTTTATGTATGAAATTTCTGTGGTTTTTGTGAAGTGTTTCACCTCTTTTTCTAGTTGGGGTTAGTTGCTGAGTGGAAAATCCCTTCAAAGAGCAGAAATACTGGCAAGTGAAAGTGAAAGTAGGGCACAACCCGACATTTTAGAAAGCTGATGGAGCTAGGGCAGACCGGGGGCCCTGGTGTTGGCAGGGGAGCCGGCAGGGGTTAACCTACACCTAGGGAGTGGGGAGAAAGATGAGAGAGGGAACAGGGGTGGAGGGGAGCAGTGGAGAAAAAGCTGCCTGGAAGTGTCATCCTGCCCCACTCCCTTGCTTTCCGTGTCTCCTCTGCCCCCTCAAATCCCACACTCGGTATCCACAAACTTCAAATCCTTCTGCCACAGCAGCAGACTGCTGAGCAGAGGGGAGAGAAGGGACAATCACATCAAAAAAAAAGCTCCTGGGACTGTTTGTTTTCATTAATCTCCTGCAATGTGATATAGGAGATAGATAGTGAATTGAGGGCATTTTTCTAGGAGCAGGCCTGGCTGGTGTAACTGTGTACAAAGAGCAACCATGGTCTAAAGACAACAGTGGGACAAGCTAAGTCTGCAAAGGACACTCAGGTCCTTCCTTGCTCTTTACTCTGGCAGTCCAGGGGCTGCCAAGCCTTTGTTCATGGTCTTTTGTACAGTAACCATCTCTGTGAGGGAGTTCCTCCTATAATGATTTCCTCTGATTAGCCTGCTCTGAATATCTGTGATCCCTGCCAAAGCACAAAGGGCGTCAGAGCTGGGTAAATGAACATTCCCAGTTTCTGTTTGAATACTGTGTTCAAATTCTCCTAGCAGCTCTGAGTAGCTCAGCCACAGACCCTTGCAAACTCCACGGCAGGCAGGTGGGTGACTCTTGGCTGCACGTATGGCCTCCACAACAGGGTCATGTTGTAGGAGCAGGAAAGTGATGAGATACATAGGAAAATGTCTGGGTCCAAAACTAGGACATTCAAAGGAGGCTGAAATACAGCAGCAAGCAAGTAAAATCCTTTGAATCTGAATTATTGGTGGCTACCTGTTTCAGCTTCTTCTCTTTGTAGGTGCTGTGTCTCTGGGGTGGATTGCAGAGCAGGGACTTTGCTGGTAAGTGATACCCACCCCACACCCACCCCTGCCTTGTCTGCCAGACACCCAGCCAGCTGCTCTCTCACTCTGCCTCCACTACAGGACAGGGGAGAGAGGAAACAAGATGGAAGAAAGACAGGGAAATCACTTACTAATTAC